TAGAATTATTCAATACTTCGATAAAAGTAATCAAGATATCAAAAGCCATTGCTCAAGGTTGTACTGATCTGTCTGTATGGACTTGGAGCCACATTGAAGGCAACACAATACAGTATAGCTGAGAACGTCTTTCAACCAATTGAGAGGACTTGCCACGCCCATATAATAGTGGTCTATTATAAATTGTGCAGCACTGTTTCAGAACCGAACCTCTCTCTGACAGGTCTAGCAGCACGGTACTCGTTGCCCCTGGCAACATTAGCGGAAAAAATTCGGCGGGAAAAATTAAAATTATTATACAATATTCATGAAGCGGCACACGTCGCCAATTGCCGTCATTATTTTCAAAAAATGTCTTGTAAAAGTTTACATCCAGTAATTCTAATTTTATAATTTTATATCTTGCATTTGATCCCGAAAAACAGGCCGTTGCCCTCCAATAGCAGGATCAGGACCTATCTAGGTTCCTCGCCGATCATTGTAGCTATTATGGACGTTCAGCGTGGTAAGAGTAGCTGAAGAAAAATGTCCAACAGGTGGAAGAAAACATTTACAATGTTACTATGCAACTAAAGGTAAATCTAATGTTACTGAGCAACGTAAGCAATTCCCAGATGTTCATCTAGAAACCGCCAAAGGAAGTAGGGATCTTAATCTGGCATATTGCAGTTAAGGAATAGGTATGAGAGTAACGTCAAAGTAAAGAATGACCATGTGTAGAAAGAACAGAAATATCAGTTCTGTACGAATGGCAGAAAAAAGCAATAGAAAGGCAAGAAAATCAAAATGGCAGACAAATTCTTGGGATGAAGTAGGGGGAAAAGGGTAGACTACTTTATATATGTGATAACTATTTCAATGTGAAATACTTAACTAATTAAGACCACTGAAATAACTTTGCGATAGTGGAGGAAACTATGATGATAGTTTTTAATTGAAGTTCAGAAAAGTTAATCAATTACGAAGTCATTCAATAATTAAAAGACGGTATTTTATTCAGTCCACAGTACGAAAGTACTTGTAAAATGAGTAACAACAGGATGATCATACAATTGAAACATCTGATTACTAAAAACGGGCTCTTGCCCTCCAATAGCAGGGTCAGGATCATAAATATTATTATTAAATGAAATAAAAGAATCGAAATTACTATAGGGTGAAAAAAAACTAGTAAAAACGATACCATTTGGATTAAATTGAAAAATAGTGCTACTTTGATTAAATTGAAAAATAGTGTTACTTTGATTAAATTGAAAAATAGTACTACTTTGATTACAATGAAAAATAGTGCTACTTTGATTACATTGAAAAATAGTGCTACTTTGATTACATTGAAAAATAGTGCTACTTTGATTAAATTGAAAAATAGTACTACTTTGATTAAACTGTGTAATCAAGTCATAAGTTAATGATATAGCAAGTTCGCGCGAAGGAAACAGACCATGTCCATTAGCGGGATAATTGAACTTTGCAACGTGAGCCCGGTTACGACGATAGGATTTCTTGAATCCTCGGCGATCAAAGATTGCCGAGGATATCTTGAAGCGTCGGCGAACATCTACTAATTTTCGTGCCTTCCTTAGTACACCCATCGCGGAAATAATTTACTCGCGTGAGTTTTCTCGTTTTTATAGCAATTGCCTGGCCAGGCCTGGCCAATGAAAGGCCTATTTATTTTTAGAATCGAATTCATTATGTTGGAAGATTACGTCATACTTTTCGGTATCAAATGTTAATAGTGTAATCTCATCTTGCTTTTAGTCGTATCAGATTTTGTACGTCGCTACTTCATCTGAATGGACTTGAGACTTTTTATATATGATATTTTTTTTAGTATTGCTTCGATTATGGGACTATATGCAAATAAGCACGGAAATATACAAGTTAGCATGAGAAATGGTCTCAAAATCGAAACAACCCTAAAAAAGTTCATATATAAAAGAAAGCATCTGGGATTATGGCATATACAAAAGATGGACCTAGTGCAGTGTACATTTACAGGTGTTCCTCTTTCTGTCTTCAGTAGTCTCCCAGAGTATCAAACAATTTAATAATAAAACAGGAGGAATTTCGCATAGAAGATAAAGAATTGGGCTATTCACACTGGGGATATTCGTTACATTTAGAAAACAAATACGAGTATCAAACTTATAAAAGCAATTGAAATCGCTTGTCAATTTTTGACCATTGAGCCAGGTTACTAGATAACTTAGCTATGCTATCAAGTCACAAATCAATTTGAGCTAGAAAGAGTGATTAAGAAAATGACAAACTCAGTTAAAATAATATTTCGACGTTTTCGGCCTTTATACTGTAGTCTACAGTAGCGATCGGCCACGGTCGACTCGACTCGACTCATGGGGTTACAATACACTACTCCTGAGTCGATTGGTCCGACTCAGAGTCGACTTCGAGTCGTGGCTCTATAGTCAATACAGTCAGGGATACAGTACACGTACTGTACTGTACAGTACATTGTTCAATGATACTACGATGTACTGACACAGTAGGGTGGATCATTGGAAATTAAGTACGAAGTAACCGGCAATAATGTAAATGTCAATGTACCAACTATATTAAAGAAGTTCATTCCGAATTTCCAGAAAAAATTGGAGGAGTTATTGAAAAAGAATTTACTCATTCCGCCAACTTCAAGTGCCTACGTAGCGGTAAATTATTCATATGAAGAAACTTCATGTGGAACGTATGATGTTAATGTTACTTTCACTAACTTCGACAAGGAGCTAGATGTATTGCGAGAACCTATTGAAAAGCTTTTACGCGAAAAAAACAATGACTTATTGCATAAGAATATATTTTTCTATCAAAATAATGAAAAAATTGCCAGAATTCCTAAATCGCTTTATGATTTTTTGTATCATGAGGAACCAGAAACTGCTTTACGGCTGAAATCTGTCACCTGCAACATCATAATCGCTATAATATGTATCATCTTAATTCTTATTTTGCCACCCACCAGTTATAGACTTTACTTGAAGTTTGGTATTGTTGTTGCGTTAAAATTATTTGGTCATTTATGTCAACTGTCGACGAACAAAAATGATATCGAACCAACTGTCCGAAAAGCAATAAGTGATTGTAATGATGGCTATATTTTGGATTGTGATTCATATATCAGGTCTAACGACCTCAGCCGAAAGATTTCTACTACTACAGAAAGTGCAGTATGAATCATGATTGGTTATTTGATATAGACAGTATTATTAAGTAATTACAATTATAAAGTAAGTTAGATGAGTAGGCAAATATCAGTTTATATAACACATTTTGCAGCCACGAAAATGTAATGCTTTAATTCCGAACATAAAGTAAATAAATTTTATTGCATTATGAATTTGTGATATGTAAGGGAGTAATTGTCATATTACTTTTATTGTTCCTTTGCAATACATCAATAGTATTCTAATCAGCATTATAGAGTAATCGGATATTAATAAAATGTTGTAAAATCATACAAAGTAAACTTGCAAATGAGTGTTCAATCATAGTATTACTACTCAGCAATGGTTGATATAACTTTAATCTGTCCAGTAGCATTATTCTTCACATTAGGATATGTAGGGCAGATATTATAATTGCCGAATTATTATCAAAGACTGTAATAAGGTTTCATCGGTGAATGCATCATTGAAAAGTAGTATTCTAGAAGCATAGTTGTGAATATAGTAGTGCCCGGCTATTACCGGGATATATATAATGTCGAATGGTAATACTATCTGTTAATTATTAACAAATGGATACATTCTCGTAAACCGTCAGCAAAGCGACGGGAGTTTGTACTAGTGATAATAAAATGTCTAGCAAAATACTCGGAGTGCGTAGTGTACTGCACTTCTTTTCCAGCGTAGATGATAATATATATATACAATATACGAGTATATAATTTAGACTGTCCTCTCTTTCTGTTGTCAGAGCTGTACTACTACTGTATCATCAATTGCGATAGATTGGCATTACTATTTTGCACATGGAAAGTTAAAATTTCATCAATTACTACATTTTTACGGAGTGTAAATCAGGCGTACGCCCAGTAAACACAAAGTCATAATCTGCATGGCGAAGCGTGGTAAGCAAAGGTAGATTCGACTGTGCCCGTTTTTACAACGGGTATTACGAAGCTAGTGATATTCATAGTGACTAAGTCTTGATATTTAAAGACTAATTGATAATGATTATATTCATAATGACTAATCTTGATTGCTAATAGCAAATTTCAATAAAAATTATTTTTGGTAGCTAAATTATGACGATAAAAGGTTAACATCTTCACTTTTTACAGCGATAGATAGTATTCTAGATGGACTAATACAAAAAAAGAATGAATTGCAGCAATAGAGCAGCTGTAGGTGTAACATACATATGCAGGAGCTGCTGTTGAGCCAAGTTTATTAAAAACACAACTTTATCCATCTAAGGTTAACATAATCAGTACCTTCATTACTGCAGTTACAAATTGCATGCAATGACTTCATGCAGTACACTATGTACAAAATTATCTAGGGTTGCATAATCTGTGTTGCAAATTTAACTTCCAGTTGCAGTTGTAGGAGCTATATTAGAAATGCTGAACGATACATGTATTTCAATTGGCTGACAGACTTATTCCTATCTTAAAATAGCGACTAATATTCAAAATAATTGCAATAGCCATAGCAATTAGAAAAATACCATTCATCTTTTTTTTCATTTGTAAAACGATACTCTCATATACTGTACTGTATGTACTCGTTTTTCATTTCACTGAAAGGCTTTTTTCCCAGCCATAAAACATAACAAAAACGTTGAAAATAACTATAATAGTAATAACTGATATTAGGAAATGATTTCTTTACTCTTTTTAATTTCGCAGAATGAAACTATAACATTCCTTTAACCTTAAGAAACACTGCAAAGTAATTGTTTACTATCTGCCTTTAATAAAATAGTTTATGTCTTAGAGTTGACGTCTTAATTGCATAAATAAACGTTGACAATTTTCTTCAGCTTGCTACTTTAATAATTTTATAGACTTTAATATGTATAGCAGAATTTTGCCTTAATTGAGATTTCTTCGATGGTAATGTCTAAAATGTAACGATAAAAACAACCCGATGTTAGGTATACGCTCGTCTTACCTAAGAATTATCAAGCCTAGTGTAGTATTGGCAAAAACAGCAATAAAGAGGCAGCTGTATATCTTTTCATTTGTAGATATACAGTACATCATACAGTATTACGATAGCTCCCTATCAAACTGCAATCAATGAGATTATGACTGTAACATTATATAATTAGTTAACTAGGATAACCTGGATAGCTATCAATTACAGCAGTTACAAATTGTAACTTACAACATCATTATTATCCCGTTTTGTAAGAACAGGAAGCTGGATATTTACTACGTATGTGTATAGTAAGATATAACATCAAAGGCGCTCTTCTGCAAAAACATAAGCATACCTCATCAAGAGATTCGAAATCGTCAAACAACTCCACAGTCGATGTTGTCGTAGATACCTATACAGCAAAAAATAATCAATTATGTGTTCCATAATTGTACTTTGAGCTTTATTATAGCGCAGTTTTAGTTCATTTCATAGTGTATGGGACGTTGGCATAATTATGAGTAATCATATAGCGTTCGGTATAGCTACTTTAGGCATAATTATTCATCAAAGAGTGTTTGTTATTCATTTGGAAATGTACAAAAAATTCGTCTCACCTCCAAGCCTCCACTGCTGGTCAATTTTAATTGCAAGGCAAGATTGATGGCTCTATTAACAGCAGCACCGAGGCCATGAATATGAATCTCTGTAAATCTGTTTCGGTTCAAAAAAGTGTTGAATTGCGTACGAGATATGTAGCAGTTGTTATAGTCGTACTTTTAGGAATAAAAGATTGAGCTGTTACGGCTAATATCAGGTTATGGACAGTATCGGAGGCATTCAGGGTAGCAACAGCAATGTCCGCCAATTCGCTAGGATAGTACAGCTATTACCTATCCAATTGCTGATGCTAACCGTATGTCGTGCTTCGATACTATTCTATGTACCAATATTATCCTTAACAGAGCTATCAATACAATTACTTTTAGTCTACAGTACTATCAAGGTAAGTAATTTCTTTAAAGAAAGATTCGTGAAAAGCCTTACTCTGATTCCAAGAGTTTACTACATTTTTTTATTTGAGCAGCAAAATTGGTTTTACGTGTGACATACACATCATTCTTCCGTTTAGGTAAGGATCTAGGTAGTCTCTTTCGAATTAGATCTATATATATATAAATATATATATATTCAAAGGTATAGCATGTATAAGAAAAAAATAGTCCGATTTGATGTCATTCACGGCAGCTCGTTGATAATTTTAACTTTACTATAATTACCCAACCAACGCTAACGACATTATCAAAGTATTAGGACTTGCTATGATTTATAATTTGTTACAAACAAGCTAAAATAGTGACGTAGAAGTAGATGCCAAATTACTACGCGTAAAGTGTTGAAACGAAAACTGCACCTTTATCTAAATAGTCCACTACTATTCCGCTACTTAAACTTACTCTCTCTTACGACTACTTTTATCCTATATCTATGGTATTCAGGCTTGAAGGCAACCTTACTACGATCACACTACGAGCACTCTCTGTTTCACATTATTGACGTTACGAACAGTAAAATATTGATGTAGAAATTGATGCTAGTCACCAGTAAGGTTAATATTACAGTTGCTCTTGCAAACTACTGTAAACTATGCTATACATCATCGATGATGACCTTTCTACGATCACTCCATCAGGACTATATCCTATTTAATTTACGTTACTAATTAATAGGCAAAATATTCTACTTTTTATAGATGCTAGTCTGCTATAACGCTAACAGTAGGACTGCATCTTTATCTAAAGCGCCCATCACTATTCTCTCATTCAGATATACTCTCTCTTACAACTCTTTTGCAACGACTGTATACTATGCTATTCGTGCTGGATGATAACCATGCTATGATCACGCAATTATGACTCTGTATTCTGCATCAATCTCGCTACGAATAGTCCATTATCGACACTGAAGCCGATGCTAGTCTGCTATCACGTTGATCGTAGGACTGAATCTTTATCTAAAGCGTCCACTATTATTCTACCATGCAAACTTACTCTCTTTTACCACTGGTTATTTAAAATTATGCTATTGATTAATGAAGGAAAGCTTCCTCCAAGGATAAAATTTCAACTTACATTCTTGATTTTCTGCTTCTGCACCACCGCCTTCTTCCATGGCTAAAATGGAAGAAACCGACCAACTTCAAATACTACACACCCAATTTATACAATTATTCACTCAGTAAGACTGAAAGGCATAGGAAGAACACTCTGTAAGTTTAGCAGCAGCTTCAACAAGGTAGAAAATACAGAATCATCTTTCCAGTAGAGGAAATATAAGATCGAAAGCTGAGGTAGTTTTGGTTGCTGTGCAACTGGCTACCAGCTAGCCAGTCCTCGCTTCCTCAGGCTTTTGATAGTTTGTGCAGTATAGTACCCCATACACATGTCGTATCTCTATAGTGTACCCTATGGAATCATTCTATGTCCCGGACGTGGCATCGTCATCATCTATACAAGATCACGACTCCACAAGCTACGTCATACAAATGCACTACTCAAACTGAGCCATTCGGGCACAAACCCTTCCACTTTCAGATCGAGTGAACGTTAGCCTACGCTACCGTTACAGTCCTTACGTTCCCTATAAAAGCCTATAAGCGACCTCCTATTCCACTAGCCAACATTTCAACATGGCTAAGGGAGCTATTAAATATCGTTTCTTCTTCAATTTAGTCGCCATTTGAAGGCTAATACTGTATTCCAGCGAGGTAGCAACATCGTTTAGAACGCCACCATGAATATGGTTGCTTCATCGAGTAATCCATTGCAATGCCACTCGTGTGGAAGTCGAGAAATTGATTATGACAACATTGGCACTGAACGAAGTCGAGTAAGTACTGTGTGGTTAGTAAACATGGCGAGTTTCACTTTGATCTCGCTTGCATTGAGTGGAAAGAGCTTGTATTTGCCCTTTGATGAAGGTTATTGATGTCATTGGATATCTACTTTACACACTACAGACTGGTATTCCCCTGTCAAATGATTCTAGACGATGTACAATATCTTAATAAAGCCATGAAAACGTAGGATACGATAGGATCGTTCGTGTCGTAGCTAGGACTTGTTGACATCACTTCCAGTCGAATATTTCTTGAAGATTAATAATAATTCTCCTTGATGTGGCATGTAATCGAGCTATTGAAGATGATATAGATACTATCTCTCTCTATTTTGAGTTATATGGCCTTTTATACAATAAGTTAATGATAGAAATTTCATCAGTCGTATTACACTATATCGACAGTTTATACATCACTGCCGGTCGAATACTTCATGAAAACCAATAATATCATACTCGTTGTAATCATAAGTATCCTCGTTTGCATCGCATCAAATCGAGCTATTCAAGATTAATGTTGTTACTGTGCTATCGCTGCCTTGAGTTACAAGACCTTCTAAGTAAATCGTTCATGATAGAAATTTCATCAGTTGTATTGCAGTATAGTAACGATTTAGATATCAATACCGGCCGAATAATTCCTAAAAACTCATAATAGTACTCGCTATTATCATTTTCTCGTAATGCATCGCATCTAATCGAGCTATCCAAGATGATAGAGGCACTGCACTTTCCCTGCCTTGAGTTCAATAGCCTTCTATACAGAACGTTCATGATAGAAATTCATCAGTAGTGTTGCAATATAGACGTATCTACAGTTTAATCGTACATCAATATCGGTCGAATATTTTCGAAAGACTCAATACTCGCTATTATAATATTCTCGTTTGCACCGCGTTTCGTTGAGCTATCCAAGAGGATGTAGATACTATCTCTGCCTGGAGTTGTGCATCCTTGTATATAAAAAGTCAATAATAGGGATTGTATGAGTAGTATTGTAGTATATCGATAGTTTGTAAATCACAACTGGTCGAATATTTCTTGAAGACTAATAATATTCACGTTTGCATGGCGTTTAGTCCTGCTGTTCGAGATGACGTACAGTAAATCTACAGTATATCTATCTTGAGCTGCATGGCCTTCTATGTATATCAAAAATCTATGATTGGTATTTCATGTGGAGTATTGCAGTGTATTGTTGGTTTATACATCACTATCGGTCGGATATTCGTTAAAGATTAGTAACTCTCGTTCGCATGGCATCTAGTTCAGCTATTCCAAATGACTTTGATATCTCAATCTTGAGTTGCATCTTCGTCTATGCAAAAAGTCAACCATAGGGATTTCTCATGAGCAGATTGCCGTATAGCGACGGTTTATACATCATTGCCTGTCGAATAATTCTTGAAGACTACTAATATTCTTGTGTACATGGCATTTAGTCGAGATTATGTAGATACTTTCGCTTTCTTGAGTTGCATATCCTTCTATACAAAAGTCTATACAGTGCCTTGACAGTTTATACTTACCGTGCTAACTGCTTATAAGTTATCTGGCAGTATTCAGTTTAGTAAGAAGATACTAATTATAAATTTACTTACATCAGTTGAACTGAATTTGAGGGCTTTCAAGAGTCGTATTAAAGTATACTATTTTATCATACGATATCTCCAATGGGACTTGTATGCTAGTTTGCTAATTAATCATACCAATGGTTTGGACCAAGAATCCTACCTATAGATTATCGACTTACATTTCTTGATCCAGAGTATTGTACAGAATCTCCAACCAACGCTACTCTCAGTTGAAATCGAGCCTTTCTAGATCTCATAGCTTTGTACTAGAATAACCTAACGCGTTACAATATGATTTCAATTTTAAATGTTGTGCTTATCATTCACGATAAGGTATGCAAAAACTGTGGTGTCGTTATAGGAGATATGGTTTCTCACAATATGGACAAGGCATTCAATGAGCACACTGTCTATGTCCCTAATGATAGGTAAGTACAAAATTAGAAGCAATAATAACCCTAGCTTAATACGACTGGACTAATCGTGTCTAGTCTGATAAATTGATAACTTTACTGTATCCTTTTAGATTCTGCTGCTATCATGCCATTTTCATGAGCTTAGTCTAAAGTTAATGCAAGAGCTTTAAAGTAGAGCAAAATTAAAAGTACTAATGCTACAGGATATATAGCTGAGTTTTGTATTAATTATTTTCTATTCCATCGGTATTGAAATAAGCCACTGGACTCGTAGTGGAGCTGCAGGTTCCAAAAGTAACGTGACTCTTTTTAGGGTAAGAAATCGCTTTCTAGAGAGGATTACAACCATCAGCTTATTTAACCAGGCTCTGTAAAATTAAAAATGATTCTTGTCCGTGCATTAATAGATGATGATATTACATAGTGTTGTTGTATAGAACCACACTATAATTTCTTGAATGATTTGTATCGACCAACCGTTGCAATGGCTAACAAATGGCAAGAAGCACGTTATTATTGTATTTTTTTTCTTTCGTAAAACAGGAACGCGATAAGTTAAAGATGTACACATGCTAAAACAGACATTAGCTATCAATACATTATTCCAATCCTGTTCAATTTAGAGTACCTATCATCAATAGCAATGCTGAAAGATTCAGTAGCCTTGATAATAATCAACTTCAAAGAGCCTGTAAAACCATAGAAGACTTACTGTATTATGCGTACTACAACTTAACATGACTAAATAATACTCATCAATTTCAGCGAAAATCATTCCGTACCGTGAAACGCTTAACCAAAACTCTCTGCCTTCCAAGTGATATACAGGATCAGGTAATGTACGAAAAATTTATAAGTTTGCCCTACGATCTCATTCTTTACAATGTTATTTTATACTGTATCGAGTTATTAACTGAATCAAAAATAATTATGATCAATCCTAAAGTTACTCTACTGTATCTATTCTGATATATGCGAGCGTTGACTTTCTTAGGGAATATCTCTTGAATTAATAACATCATTTATTTACAGCTATTTTAGATACCTTTTTTAAAAATTAACCTTGTTTCAAATTGAAAAATTAGGCGCTAAATCTACTGAAGCAGTTGTATAAACACCTTAAGAGCCGATATTTCCAGGGAGAAAAACTTGTAGCTGCTGGGTACAAACTGCCAGTTTATTTAAAGTACATGCAAAATATCAAGATAATTCTAAAGTAGCTTTTATTATCATAGATGCATATTTATAGTATGTCGTCAGAATGGAGTTACTATATTTCTTAAAGATATTGCACAGAAGATTCCATTTAATGAATCTGCTATTAGCAACATGTCTAAGAAAATTTGTCGTGAGTTAAATCTCACCTTGGCTATTCCTGAACCAACTATTGCAGAGGTAGTTACATTGCTACTCTTATTATTAGCTCCCTTACAGCAACATTGATATAGGTTGAGCCAAATTATTCCTCTCTCGAGCCTAGTTATTAAGCACTACAGTACTTTGCGTTTTGTTATAGCATATGGAAATTATCTCCTCCAAGATACCCATCAAAGATTTTAAAATCAAGCAACTCGCAACTGAGTAAATGGATCTTTGCTTTTGAATTTTCTTTAAGTACCATTGATTGACGCCATGTATTAATTATAATTATTAATTGCGATTAGAATTGTTCAGTTTTGCGTTGAAGTGCAATGGCTCGATACTGGACGACTGTAAGTATAGTTATAAATTGATGGTGATCTTTTCGTGTACGCGTATTATGTAGGCAATTATTGTACGAATTTCACTAATATCAAGTGAATAAACACAGCAATATATTGTCTTATTGAAGGAGACCACCTCTGATAGGTGCAGCTGCTTACCTTGCTTTAAAGTCAAGTGATAGTCCTAAGGTACCAGGCAAATTATGTTCTAACTATAATGAAAAACACTATTACTCATTATACATGAACTTTGCAACACGTTGTTTATGATGCAGTTTTATAATTATGCATGAGTGAAGCATTTGCTAATGAGAGATTTTCTATCCAATGCCTATCCTTTTTCTTTAGGCAAATATAGACGCAATATGCAAGGATTGTAAAATTAGCACTGGCATATTCATGAAAGTATGTATTACATTTGTACTTCAGTCAAGATTGCGTTGCATAGTCTCAAAAATTAGTGCTTGTTTTCTATACTTCTAGAGGAGACGTGAAATTGAAGATGTTTGCATGAATTGCATTAAATTTCTACCATGGATTAAGCAAGGTAATGATTGCAGTATCATGTGAATGTGCTAAATTCATCTTTTCTAATAATAGATTTGGTCGATAGCATTAGTAAACTGATGCAATTTGCATTATTCATAGATATCTCACGAAAGAAGATTGCCCATTATCTACCAAAAATTATTAAATATAAAGAAGTCATTAAACACTCAATGTTTGTCCCTATTTCGATTATCCTTTTACGGTGCTTCTAGGGCACCTTTTACTCCGTATGCTAATTTTCAAAATTTATGTTATCATTTTTAGAAAAGAAAAAGCTGATGCTCAGACTTATGCGGTACATTTAAAATATAGACAGAAACATTATAAAGATGACAATATTTTAATTGTTATTTTTACTCGCGCTATTACTGCTTAATAAACGTGAATAGCCCATATCCTTTGCGCAAAATCAACGGAAATCCCTAGAAAATCGAAAGGCCATTAAAGAAGTTAAGGAAAGCCTGTTGTTGAATGGTGAAGAAGTGAACGAAGGTAATTATCTTTTATACGCGCATCATGCTTGAAATTTTCTGCATGCCTTGATTTGGTGAGAGAGAAGAATTACTGCTTCATCTTCAAATTGATAATTTATTGTTGAATAGAGGATTTGTGGAAAACTCTAAAAGGAATTCATACTAATCCCGGCGAACACAATGAAGCCGTTATCAAGTTACTACTTGCTCATGGCTATTCAGAAGTAAGTAACTTTGATCACAGTATTATTTTGTTCATCGTTTATGGCTAGTAAGGCAAGTCATTCTGGCTTTATTTCTAATTTTTTTTGACGCTTACAAGGACGACTTGGCTGATGGATACTATGAATCACGTTTATGTCAGTTAATGCCATCGTCGGTATGTTCTACCAAGATTGTCTACATCAGTTATTGCTGGCGTTTCTCATATTAGTTTCTATGATAATAATGGTAAGATATGTTTGCATTAGTCGCAGAATGGGGAAGAGCTAGGTCAGGAAGATATTGCTGAAGAAGAGATGCATAACTTTTTGAAATCGGCGGAAGAGGTTGTAACATCTTTCTATTCTGGCCCCTTAACTTGTATTCATATAAATTAGGATTGAATTCATGTAGACAATTTATCTAAAATTTAGGTGCAGAAACTTAAGGTTGTGGGCTCTATGCCCAAGGTCCATAAGAAGAATTCCAAATAAAACTTTATGATTCATTTTTGTTCTATTTATACTATATTTATAGATGAGGAAAGATGCATGATGCTCATCTTACTCGAATTCTTTGCATAGCAATTTATAATGGTATTGACTGTTGTATGGTATAAACTTGATAGGTGTTGTACTCAATTTTAGACCGTAACAAGAAGAAGTGGAAATATTTGTAATAAAATAAAGTCGTTGCGTACCTGTTTGGTATCATTATTTAATATTCATGATTTGTTACTATATCAGTTATTCTCTCTATGTTCTTGAATATTGAGTATCTATTTTCTTGGTATGTGATACAACCGATCGATATTTATTTCCATTGCATCGGCGATATCCTCTTAGTATGTGTATTACATTCTGGATTATACCGTTATTTGATAAGAATTAAATTAACAGTATCTATTTCATATGCGAGTATATTATTCTATATTGTTTCATATTGCCGAAGGTCAATGAAATATCTTTTCTATCATTATTAAAGGCAGCCAAAGCCCTAGTTTATGCATAAATAATAACGGCTACTACCAGCAATGCTTATAGCCATATTAAATAATGTTCCGTAAGTGTTTTATCTGCTTAATCTAAGGTCAAAAATTGTCTATCCTATCGCTCCCAAGGCAAGGAAAGCGGTAGTCTACATCAATGTTCCGTCCGTGTTTTATTCTGTTGATTCAAGATCAACCAATGGTGTTTAATCTATCTTACGCCTTATTAAGGTTAATATCTATCGAGTATCAAGGATTAATCCAACATTTTTTGTTGGAATTTAAATTTAAGGCCACTTCCTGAACAAATTGTTGAACCATTTCGAGTCTAGCGCATTTTCAATCATTTTTCCTATGTGATGACTGTATCCGAAGATCTTGTTTCAGTAGCATGGCTATATCGACACGATTTGACCCCACTGTATCCATCATGTCATAATACAGTAGTACGGTGTATCAAATATTCCATTTCTCATTTACCTCTATGACTTTAGCTTGTCTGTCCTACCGTCGTCCTTTCCTCGTTGTCTGTACTGTATGCTATACCCCTACTGAAACTGTAGTTAAATTCTTGGTCTATTGACTCTACAGAGCTGGTGATTGATTGTCATTTGCAAAACAAGATTCGCCACCATCACAGCCAAGGCATTTCGTCAACCTTTTTGCCTTCTCCATTTATAGTACAAGTAGTTTAAGACTATTAACGGCGTGTTTCTGCCGTCTTTTCGTTGATTTAGCTGCCACTGGATTGAGTAGCGAGACTCATTATCACCATGGGAATATTGGAAAAGATTAGTGAGATCGAGAAAGAAATTTCAAGGACTCAAAAGAATAAAGGTACATGTCCATTTTGTACGCCTATCATGTCATCGGCTCAATCTTGCTCTAGGATCAATTTAGAATCATGTCGAGAATATAAACAGAGCCTTGATGTCGTTATTTGAAACTTTTGCTATATCTATAACTACTGGATGAAGAAGAAATGAATGCTAATGTAAAGGATTAATTTGCATGAGGCTTGCAGAAATGACTTGATGTTGTATTCCTTATATGAATCAGAGGTTGCCATGAGTACTAGTGTATACTCTACTACATGTATAGACATATCGATTTATTCGAGATTTTGTCTCTGGAAGTCATTATTTTGACTCTCGATGCCCTTAAGTCTAACTACTTGTACATGTATATAGATCAATTTCATGCCGTTGTGACTGGTACAGTATCAACCAATAGTGCCAATTCCTTTCACAGTCAATGTCGACGTAGACATGACATAGTGACTTTTGCGACATCGATGTGTATAACTACTTGATGAAGAAATAGATGATTATTGATGGAGTCATGTTGAAATAGACTGGCAGAAATGAGTTGATACTGTACGATTCTTCATCATCATTAAAATAGACATAAATAATAATTCATTGAGATTCTGCCTCTGGTAGTCATCATTTTGACTTGCGATGCCCTTAGATCGAAGGGTACGTGTACAGTATAGATCAATTTGATATTGTTATTATTGGATGAAGAGATCAAGAGATCACCAATCGTGTTAATCCCTACAGCATTGACTGTAGATGGAGCCATGGTGTCGTTATTGTAAACTGTTGCTATATTTCAAACTACTTGATGATGAAGCAGTAATGGATAATGCTTTACAGGGTCATTTTGTAGTAAACTAGCAGAAATGGCTGGATACTGTATTCCAGATAATCATTAGAATAGAAGAGCCTCATGTAACTAGAGATTCTGTCGCTGATAGTCTTGATTCAAAATGCCCTTGAATCGTACCTGGACGTAGACAAGTCAATTTCATCGTGTTATGATTGGTATGAACTGATCAGCAACAGTACAACTTCCTTAGGCATTGGCTATAACCATTTTACGGTATTGCAGTAGCAAACATTAGAATTTTTGATAGTCCTAAAATATGACTGACTCATAATCCTGTTAAGATGGCGAGGGACTGATTATTTAATAATTTGAAACTTATGCTAAATCAATGTTTGATAAATGAGAAATGGAACCTGTTTCATCGACTGTAGTAAATTAGTGATTGGGAGTCGATTAGAAGAGATATCTTGATACTGTAGGAGTTTTTCAATCACTACGCCCTTCCTTCATGGCTCATACGTGTACAGATCTGATTGATGTTGTTATTTTTGGTATAAAGCGACCATCATAAATGTTCCTTCCTTGGGCATTGAATCTCGTCACTTTACAATAGTGGCAAAACATGGCGATGATTGACTAGTCGTCAAATGTTCTATTAGAGTATGATACAAAGTATCCTATCTTGGATGCAAAATTTTCAACTGATTCATGACCTTCTTCAAAGGTAGTTTTATACTCTAACGTTCTCATTGATGACTTACAATCAACGCACGATAGCTTGTTAATGCATGGACTTGGCTAATAAACTGCCTATTTTCGTTACCAAATACCGTAAAGCCTAAGTATTCAATCAGGAGATGGTCTGAATTGAATTGGATTCTATATGCAACTTTCTTTGTAGATATTGACTGCTGATAGTAAGACCTACTATTAGTTCAATACTATGTACAGTACAGTGGAAAGATTGTGTACTGTATATAAACTATATCTTTTTAATTTATCCAATTTCAAGCTACCGAGTACCATCTTGGTTTACTGAAAGCTAAATTGGCCAAATATCGAGCCCAGTTACTGGAAGGACCGAAATCTTCATCGGCTAAGGTATCAAGAAATACACGTTTGAATGTCCACCTGCTAATGAATGAGTAATTTACGTCAAATCCATGAAATTTGTAATCACCTGAAAGATTATCGGATGATTAGTTTCAATTTTCAGACGCAGACTACCATTTCACTTAGAAACAGTAATAAAATTAGTATTACTATTCGTAGTACAATCATTGATACGATATCTAATGCAGAAGCATTAACTTTATCATCAAAGCAATGTGTAATTGCGTATTGCAGTACAATCATGCCAACATCGATATGAATGTGTTGCAGTATTACCTTAACGATGTGTAGTATAAGTAAAACATTTATCTATTGATTACATTATTCTTGATAGCTATGAATAACATGCATCCTCGATTGGTCATTTAGGGTGAAGGATTCGATGTTATGAAATCGGGAGATGCCAGGGTTGCTCTAATAGGATTTCCATCTGTTGGCAAGGTTAGTTTAAGCGATTAGTACTGTGCTTCATTGATATATCTTCCATATTGATAATCAATCTTTTTTACCATTTTAGTCGACATTACTGAATAAACTGACATCGACGTTTAGTGAATCTGCATCCTACGAATTTACAACATTGACATGCATCCCTGGTGTAATCGAAGTATGCGACTACCATAAAACGTAGACATAAACTGCTGTATTCACTCTTGAACAGCAGCAACGTGATACGTTTCGTTAATTACTGGCTTCATGCTCGATGTCAATCCTTTATTCGCGTCTGTTTTTGTACTGTAGTATAATATACGTATAGCTTCATAAATGCGCGTAGTTTTAGATTACAATAGTACTTTATTAATCATGTATTACTCCATTGGTAAAACTTGAAAATTAACCCATAGTCCAAGTTTATTACTCAATCTTATATGAAATTACCAATGTTCAGGATTGTCATTTCCTTCGTTTGTAGCATAACGGTGCAAAAATTCAGTTATTGGATTTGCCTGGTATCATAGAAGGAGCTGCACAAGGTAAATCATTGTCTGTTTGCAGATTTCGGCTTTTATGATAGTCAAAATGAGTTGCTCTGCCATGATACTTGCTTCGATAATATCGATGATGGTAATGGTATTATATTGATAATGTGGCGCTTGGCTTTAGGCAAAGGAAGAGGTAGACAAGTGATTGCTGTTGGGCGTACGGCGGATGTCGTTTTAATGATGTTGGATGCCACGAAAGGCGATGTTCAAAGGTTTGTGTCAATATGTGTACAAGTAATCGGAAGAAAAGTGGATAATGTACGATTTTACTTAATTGTAACTTAATAAACTGTATCTGAAAAAGAGTGTATTGTATTATATTATTTTACCTCGTCATGTTATTTTTTGACGTCTATGTGGCTGATTTGGAATACATTTACTCGTATTTTAATATTTGTAAATTTGCTGTTGCAATTTCCTCTTTTTCTATTTTGACTGGTAACCAAGTACTGGACGTTGTTCATCTGTTTTATTAATAAAGGGCATTACTCAAGGCTGAACTGGAAACGGTAGGGATTCGGTTAAATGCAAGAAGGCCGAATATTTATTTTAAGGTTTGTTATTATAACAGTAAAATAGATACCATTTCTAGTTAGGATGACGTGATCAAGTGTTTATCCACTGTGAGATAGATGATCCACGCTATGACTATTAATTTACTATTATTACGCCCTTACAGCCAAAGAAAGCTGGAGGATTACATTTTAATGCTACCTGCCCTCTAACTCACGTGAATGAAAAATTAATTCAGTTGATTCTTCACGAGTACAGTAAGTTGTTTTAGTAGAATTTAGTTTGATAATGTTTGAAAAATGAATGACTATTTTCAATCTTGATTTCATGGTATAACAGAAATTTTTAACGCGGAAGTATTGTTTAGGGAAGATTGTACCGCAGGTATCGTAGTTATGGAATGAAATGAATATTTTCATGGTGTAAGGTCAAGAAGATGAAAGATGATTTACCGTTAAAATTTTATATGCTTCTTCTCTATTCTAGATGAATTTATTGATGTTATAACCGGAAACCGAGTTTATTTGCCTTGTATTTATGTAAGCAAGTCTTTTATGTTCCATTCTTATTGATCCATTAAAACGAGTTGTCCTGTATACAAATTATAATGGGGTCAATTATTTATCCGATGGGTTTAAAATAGGTGTATAATAAAATTGATACCATTTCCATTGAAGAAGTTGACCGAATTGCTCGCCAGCCCCATTCGATTGTGATTAGGTGAGTATTTTTTGAGTGCAGTGCTGATTTATACAGTATGTATTTTTCGGTGTATTGTCAGCCTGCTGGATCTGTTGGTAATCTCTTCTTGATGCACTACTTTATCATGCTGTATCCAAAGTCGGTTGCGCACTGTACTAATTTGATGTCCATCTACTGATTTGCTTCAGCTGTAATCTTGATTTGAACTTGGATTTTCTATTGGACAAGGTATGGGAATATTTGGCACTGATACGAATTTATACCAAAAAGAGAGGAGGCGAGTAGAACTGTAGAAGTAGACATATTTTGGAACGGCTATTTTGTTATTATTGCAAGTAGGTTGTCGGTGTTGTTGCTGACTATTTGCTAGGAGTTTTCTTATTAAAGAGCTGCTGTAATACTGCGCGATTTTCTCTTGTATACGAATCTATTCTGCCAATCTGTTATTAAAGAGTCGTATCGTCTCTTGTTTGATTGATTACTTTAATAACATACATATAGTATTGCTACACCGCTGGTAGTAAAGTTTGTTGATGAAATATTCTAAAGCATCATTTAATTATGGCGTCAAGTATACTCTCCCTGCAATTACAGTGTTGAGCTACTGTTAAAGTATCTTTCCGTCTATCGGTTGATTGCTTGACAAAACATTCTTAAGTACAATATAACTTTCTTATGCTTTCCAATATATCCTACGTTCGTCTATAGTGTTAAAGTGCTGTTAAAGAGTCTTATCGCCTATTGGTTTGATTGATTACTTTATCTGCACACATATAGCTAAACTGCTGCTTGTAAAGTCAATTGATTGATTGATAAAACATTCGGTTGATTGCTATAACTGCATTTGCATTGACAACTGCTGCTTGTAAAAGAGACTGATTGATTGATTTATAATGGGTCCATGTTGTTGTTTATTCTATCCAATACAGAAAATCCAGATTTTGGCGATGGCCTCATTTTAAGGAATAACGCTACCGTTGAGCATGTGGTGAGTAGCCTATGGCAAATGTGGGCATATCGCATTTATTACTACGGTTTTAAATTAGCGTATTCTGTAATGACTTGTTAATTAATGCTTCTATTTTATATAACAGTGCCATTACATTCATCGGACCATTGCCAACTCATTTAAATATGCTCTAATTTGGGTAAGTAGAGTCGTTAATTACACGTTGACTGTATTTTATTCTATCGACTTGGATTTGGGATTATAATTTTTTTACCTGCTATTTGACTAGCTCTATCTAGTATTATAATTGGACTGTGTTGCCGTGAAACAGGTTCAAGGTTAGACTATTGATTGAACAATTCATTTCTACTTCACTATAGGGTACGAGTACAAAATTTAACCCGCAACGTGTTGGTTTAAGTCATGTCGTTCAAGATGAAGACGTAATCCAAATTGTAAAAAAGTAACGCTAGCTGGTCTGACTTGTTGTAAAATGTATTTTTGATCTATTTGCGTGTCAACGTATGGGTTCTTTACAGTAGTATAGTGTCTCTATGCATGGATCTTTAACGTCTAACCTTCGTTTGAAAGCGACTGTATTTTGGCACTATGTACGCCTACTTAATCCATTTAAAGGCTATAATGACGTAACTAAGGCAATTTGCAGAATATGCACCAATAGATGTCATCTCCTTTAGGACAAGATGATTAATAAATTCCGATTCTTTGGTGAAATGTAATCGCTACGACTGATGTATTGATTTGATATGCTCTGAATTTCTTTCTGCAGTAGTATGATTTTACGTGTATGTATTGTTTACTCGTCTGTTTATCCATTTCACTATCAAACGAGTGCATGTCCACTCGCTTACTGGTACAATGCTGCGACAAAGCGATATTGGATGATCTGATTTTACTCGTATAATTATCGTTTCGTTTGTAAGAGTGATTTTATTGACTTGGCTATGAGAAGATTGGATTGCCGACAACAAAACTACATTACTATCCTTACTGAATAAGTTTGGAGTAGTAGTGGTTGAATTGGTCGTGCACATGATGGAGAAATTGAAAATGACAATGAGAACTCGTTGATGATTACAATATTTGTCTATTAACAGTAAGTAAGATTTAATTTGACTGATTGGGTTATGAAAAAGTGTGAATACGACGATAACCATGACTGCATAGTCTTGGAGTAGTATTTGTCATGCTCGCGATAGGAAAGCAGGTGGCCATTGAAATTAGTTTAGGGATACAATATCGTTTTAATCAGTAAGAAAGATTGTATTGTCATTGCTAGCAACATCACAAGGCTAATTACTCAATAAGTTTGGAGCAGCATTCGTCATACTCACGATGGGAAGTAAAGGATGACCATTGGAAATAGTGTACGTAATCACTGTAACAACAGAACACATTAATTTATAGAATCCATGTTGACATTACACTGGAGGGTAGTTTGTAGTGATTGTAATATCGTTTAGTCGGTAAAAAGTATTTTTAACTTAGATTATGAGAATTTATGATTTCATAGATGATAGCAATAGGTACTGTCATTACTCGATAGCTTGCAGCCGTATCTGTGATGACCATGATAGGAGAGCAGCATTTTGATCAGTGAAAGTTGATGATTTCAATATCGTTTAGTCAAAAGAGTGTTTTATTATTATTATTACTAGCTGTAACTGTAATCATAAGGCAATTCCTGTATAAAGTTGGAGCAGAATCTGTCATGGACATGATCGGAAATAAGAGATGACTTGATGATGATTGCAATCACGATTACACGGTAAGAGTGGTTTATTCAGTGGATTATGTGAGGGGAGTAATTTTCTAGTCAATACAGTTACAGAGGTCATGACTAGCTGTAAGTACTCATAAGGTAATTACCGTATAAAGTCAGAGCAGAATCTGTCTCGGAAATGAAAGATGACTTGATAATGATTGCAATTACGCGGTTTATTAAGTGGACTGTGTAAGGCGAGGATGAAACTCTTGACAGCAACATGCAGGATAATGATGGAATCAAACACCTCCATTGTAATGACTGGAATGATAGTCATTGACTAATACTCATTCCGTTGAGACTGATTTGAGCAGTCAAATATTGCAGTCTCATTATCGCTACCCTAGCTTACTTTTAAGCAACTCATTATGACTGCAGAAGCGAACATTGCCCTTGGACATGCTGCTCCATCGTCAATGATTGTGCCAAGGTAGTCATTTATTCTATTCTATTTGGCAATCATTTTCCAACCCAGCACTACTGCAGTCTATCTTGGATTCCTTCTTGCTGCAAGCAAAGCTCTACGGTCAAAGGAAAGCAGCAAGGGCATTGGTTGCTACGATACCGTTAGCGCAGCAGCAAAGTTAAGCTACTTAGCTGGAATGAGCTCGAGTATTTATTGAGCGGGTTGGTCAACAAGAATTGCTATCAATTGTGCTTTTTTGTTGTTGCTGTGCAGTCTTGTTAGTAGGCCATGAGCTAGCAGTGGTGCCAATTTGCAATGCAGGCGCTGAAGGATAGTCTGGTGTGCAAAATACATCGTCACTATCCCATCTCTTAAATCCTTGAAAGATATGGTTAGAGGTTGGTTGAAGGAAGTGTAAGGATCACAATGATTTTGCGCTTTTTCAGGTTGCGTAATCGTCCTTTGTCATGCTTTCATCTCGTCTATCCACGATGCAGGGCTCAGAGCCTTGTTAAGAGAAATTCCAAAGGTGACATTGATTTTGCATGAGGCTTACTGTATGCGAGAGTCCAGTCCGATCACTTGCAAAGTGATCGGGGACTCATTTCGCTGGATGGCCGTTTGGAGCAGGAGATGTGCAGTCTCATGTCGTGCTTTGACCGTATTGCCCAGTCAGAGCACTACCATGAAGAAGGGCCTAGGTGACACTCATTTTACACACCATCAACAACAAGGCCACTCCGCTAAGCTTTCGTTTGCATGCTACCACTAGTTCACATTCGTGCCGAGCTTAGCGTATTGGAATGTAGACGACTGCAAATACTTTGCAGTCGCTTTGCATGGTGTGGGGATTGGGGTGGATGGTCGATCAACAACAAGTCCTCTCCTTTGCCACTCCGCTAAGCTGTCGTTTGCATGCTACCACTAGTTCACACTGGTGCTGAGCTTAGCGTATTGGAAAGTAGGCGACTGCAAATACGTTGCAGTCGCTTTGCATGGTGTGGGGATTGGGGTGGATGGTCGATCAACAACAAGTCCTCTCCTTTGCCACTCCGCTAAGCTGTCGTTTGCATGCTACCACTAGTTCACACTGGTGCTGAGCTTAGCGTATTGGAAAGTAGGCGACTGCAAATACGTTGCAGTCGCTTTACATAGTGTGGATGGTCGATCAACAACAAGTCCTCTCCTTTGCCACTCCGCTAAGCTGTCGTTTGCATGCTACCACTAGTTCACACTGGTGCTGAGCTTAGCGTATTGGAAAGTAGGCGACTGCAAATACGTTGCAGTCGCTTTACATAGTGTGGATGGTCGATCAACAACAAGTCCTCTCCTTTGCCACTCCGCTAAGCTGTCGTTTGCATGCTACCACTAGTTCACACTGGTGCTGAGCTTAGCGTATTGGAAAGTAGGCGACTGCAAATACGTTGCAGTCGCTTTGCATAGTGTGGATTAGGGTGGATGGTGTGCATTTCCCGCCTTGGATCAGCTTCTTTCCATTCTTTTCTTTCTCTCCCTTGAAGTGGCGGCAAGTTTATTGCGCGAGTGGTTCTACCGTACCGCGAGTGATGGCTGAACTGCGCCGGCTCTAAACTCCATGACTATTCAACGTTCGTAACAGGATGTTTGTCAACAGTATTTCTACCACTTTCGGTAAGCACGTGCTAGGCGATAGTCCATTGCCAGTGTCTATCCTATGACGTCACGATTGTGGTACCAGTACCGTACTGGACTCCTTTCAGCTATTAGTAGAGACGCTGGCTGATCACTGTATTCTTCATACTGTAGCAAGGTAGATAGCCTTGGGTTTACGCACCGTCCTGTTTACTACCGCATGCAGCAAAATCAATGTCACCCATGGGTAGCGAGCGCCTTGTTACTATAGCCAGTACTCAAGGCATACCATGACGACATTAATTTTGCTACTCCTTGAACCCTTTGTAGTGTACACTGTACTGTACATTAATGTGAAAAAAGAATGTCGCTTCTGAGTGCCCTTTCTACTACCTAATCAATGTCACCTTTGAGTAGCGAGTTGCTACTGTAGGCAGTACTCGAGGCATACCATGACGACATTAATTTTGCCAATACCGGAACTCTTCCAATACTGTCGTTGTGCAAAAAGAATGTCAGTTCTCCCATCCTTGCGATTGCCGGAATCAATGTCACCCATGGGTAGCGACTAGTTACTGTGGGCAGTACTCGAGGCATACCATGACGACATTCATTTTGTCCTTGACTACAGCCATTCTCCTGTTGTATTGTGCAAAAAGAATGTCGCCTCTTCGTGCCCTTTCTACTGCCTAATATAATCAACCCTATTGATAGCCAGCGACTTGTTCCTGTGAGCAGCGCTCAAGGCATCCTATGACGACATGGATTGTGCCATGGCCCGTAGCCTTCTTCTTTTCTCTTGTGCAAAAAGAATGTCGCTTCTGCAGGCCCTTTCTACTGCCTAATCAAGGCTATTGATAGCCAGCGACTTGTTCCTGTGAGCAGTACTCAAGGCATCCTATGACGACATGGACTTTGCTCTACCTAGTAGGCTTCTTCCTTTCACTTATGCAAAAAGAATGTCGCTTCTGCATGCCCTTTCTACTGCCTAATGAAGCCTATTGATAGCCAGCGACTTGTTCCTGTGAGCAGTACTTGAGGCATCCTATGACGACATGGATTTTGCCCTACCCAGTAGTCTTCTTCCTTTCTTTTATGCAAAAAGAATGTCGCTTCTCCATGCCCTTTCTACTGCCTACAGTACCAAGCGGTCCTGCATGCGTGACCCTCTTGGGATGGAGAAAAGAAGGGGGGTGACCCGTTGTTGTGGACGATCGCTACTCGCGTCAAGCGTGTCTAGTGCAGTCTTGACCACAACAACACCACCGGGCCGATGTTGCTTGCTTTCCCTAGTCAACAGTCTGATACCATAGTCCAGTATCATGTCTTTCGTATGGCCGATGCCAGTATAGGATGGCGATGGGCATTTTACACCTCCATCAGGGGCCCCCGTGTTGATGGCTTACCCCACCACCCCTGTGCTTCCATCCCCGCCTGGTGTGGTATACAAATCGCTACAGTCGGCGGCAGCAGATTGGCCAAGGAAAGAGAGAGAAAAAATTCATCGTCTCAATCTGCTGATTGCAAGATTGCTCTCGCTGCCATTGCTATTTTACATGGTTGTTATTGGCATTATTGACTTGATTCAAGGGTTATTGAGCGTCGATTCGGTTATTGGATGATTGGAGAGGGATTAAACGATTGTATCCAGTGATTTTGTAGTA